GTCACGCAGTGAACGGTAGGTTGTCTTGTGTCTTGTGGTATTTGCCACAGTTCCTCTATGGATTTAGGTTGTCCCACCGTCTTCTGTCTCTCCATGTAATCGCAGACTGACTTGATGATGTTAAGATAAGACAGTCCTTTATTAGTCCCACAGTGTGGAGTTTTGCACAGAGACCAAGGCTCTGTACTGTGTGTGTGTGTGTGTTAGGGATCGATGTCATGCTGCAGAATGAATTTGGGACCTATCCGATGCCTCCCTGATGGTATTGCATGATGGGGAAGAATCTAAACATCTAAAGTGCCAAAAACTGTTGCACAGTACTGTATGTTCCAACCCTGATGTTCATGAACTCTCAGTAAAGATCGAAAGAATGAGATTGCAATAAATTTTCTTTATAGCTTGTTTGGCCTCACACTTAGGGAAACCACCTGGACAATCTCCCTCTGAATATATACTGAACCAAATACTTTAGGAACCCCCAGTAAGAGCTGGAGTACGTGTCTAGGACATACGGACATTTGCTTAGCCTTGTGCCGCAACAACCCATATAAGTGACGGAAAACTGATCAGATCACTAGAACAAGGGTTATTCCTGTGCTCTCTATGCGGGAACCAAACAACCTCTAATAAGTTGTATGCATTTGACAGTAGCACTGCTTCATACATGGCAGATTGAACAGTGAAGCGGTGAGAAATAAACCAAGCAAAAGCTAAGGATACAGATCTATTCCAACTAGCATTACAAGTAATATGAACCTCTTCAGAGCAAGTTAAAGGTGGAATGAATGAGGTAAAGAGACTGAGGAAGAGTAGCAGTGACTTCATAGATCTGCTCCTTTGTTCTGCATCAGACCTGTTTGTTAGTGGACATCCCACTGCCTCACACACCTGGTACACATTACTGCGTCTACTCTGCGTGTTTGTGTGATCTGCGAGTGTGTGAGGGAGAAGAGATAAAAGGAGGAGGAGAAGGACAGATGGAGGAATTGAGAGAGGACTGTAGTGTAGTTTTAGTGAACTCCCATGTGTGTTTCCATGAGCGAGAGTCCACTGATGATGTGACACAAACCACATGTGATGGGGCAACATCTGCCTGGGATGTGTGTGTGTGTGTGTGTGTGTGTGTGTGTGTGTGTGTGTGTGTGTGTGTGTGTGTGTGTGTGTGTCTTCAATAGAGAGACCCTGGGCCTGGATGTAACAAAGGAACAGATAAAGCACCAGAGTTGACGAGACGCTGCTTTCCTTTTTCTGTTGTCTCATTTCTTGCTTCCCTCTCTCTCTTATCCTATACTATGTTTTTGCAATTTTTTTCATTCATTTGAGTTTCCTGTTTCATTTCTTCATGAAATAATGAATCATTGCATGTTTCAAGCTCCCTAAGTGAAACAGATGACATGGGAAAATTTAATTCTCTTAGTTTCACATTGTACCATTTTGTGTGAGTGGGTGTGTAACTGTGAGAGGACAGATTGACTGTGTTACACACATTAAAAGCTCAGTGAGAACAACCTACATCAGTACTGCTCCAAGTTTGGATGAGGACCTAAAAAGGAGTTGAGGGAAAACGAATACGAGTCCCCAAATTATTCAGTAAAAATCTCTGTCAGAGGTTATTGAGTATGTTACACTGCCAAAGGGCTTTATGAGATCCTGCAGTGGAATGCAGGCTGAGACCAAGTCACATTTAGTTAGATTTGCCTAACTAATAGCCCTAAAATTGGGTTTATAAACATAAGAAAAATGTAGCTCCCTAGAGTAAAAGTCTGAAATTCACACTGTGCAGAGGAGTGTTTTTCCTCCAACAGATCAGCAACTAATGACCAGTGGACTCTCTGCTACTTCCTTCCCACTGACTCTCTCTCTCTCTCTTTTTTTTTTGTCTCTGGAGAAATCGCTCTCGTCTACTGGTGGACATCAAGCCTCAGTGCTGTTGTGGTACCAGCTAAAACGTGCCCAGAGCATCAATTATTAAGAAAAACAAAACCTGGCTTTGAATGTGTGGTCAAGTTTGTGGTCGTTTTTGTGTTTAAACCAAAAGGTTGAAAGTTTTAGTCTGTTGGAGAGTTCTGGTCTGGCTGCTCATTAGACGACATTTAATATTTGAGAGCTTTGGCTTGTGTTTACTTTTCTTAAAGTATCCCAGTTTGTCTCTGTCTTTCACCTGTCTTGCACCATCTTATATCAAATATGCTACTGGAGCAACTGCAGAACAGAACAGAGCAACAGAGACACCTGGACATTTTTGTTACCCTATGAAATAATAATAAAGAGGAGTTTGTAGACTGTATAATGTTCCCAAGGTGCATAATCAATAAAAAAAAAAAAGTGAAGCCTAAACATCTCCCACACATCCTGTTAACAAATATACACACCTTGGGAGCATTAAACAGCGCTGGACTTCCTCTGCAGTATAATTCATTATTTTGATTAATCTTGGCAATTATGGCTGAAGACTGGGATATGTGCTTTTCTGTTCTAATTTATTTTTGTTGGCCTGCCATGGTGACTTTTACAAATTGGGCTGTATCCACTTTCAACAGACTGTAAAAAAGTAAGAATTAATAACTTTGCAATTCAAACAAGCAAGAAGAGGCACTGTGCGTGTCTGTGCAGTATCGGGCTGTCCGAGAGGAAAATTGTGGTTTACACAGCGTCAGCCCCCACTGGCCAGTTTCTGAGACTGTTTGTTGGACCTCGGTTACTGTATAGTGCCACACTGGTATTCGCACATACAGCAACAGGACACAAAGCCAAGGTAATAAAGTTTAGACATGGTATTAAACAAGAAAATATTTTCCGTTCTCATACTCTCTGTGTCTTTGTTGAGCTCTGAATATCAAGTATAGAAACGAAGGAAGGAAAACAAGGAAAGAAAGGGTAGAGATAAGTTTGGGTAAGGTCAAGGGAGCTGTGTGTGTTTGTATTTTTGTTTGAGCTGCTGGAGGGGGGTTAGGTATAGTTGATGTCTGATGTTTCGCTCAGTGTGGTATCCCCTGCAACGGTCTGTGGGTGGGGGGCATGCTCTTGGCTGTTGTTGACATTAACCCCTGCTAACCCCATTACATAGACATACACACAGGCACACACACAGGCACGCACACACACACACACACACACACACACACACACACACAACACACACACTACTGAAATACGCACTACACAGAAAAAAGCTCTCACTCTGCCTGTCTCTACCTTTTCCTTTATCCGACTGTCAAGTGAATTTGTAGCGAAGCTTGGAAATGTTTCGAAAAGTAAAATATGGCTCAGGTGTGCTTCCAGCTGGGTTGAAGCTTTCAAATTGGTCTGAACCTGAACACAGAGTTCAGAAAACACATCAATAAGACACCAGACAGAATCTTTCAAGACCTCATTAATACGGAGTGAGTTAAAGTCAGCGAGTAAAAGGTCATGGTGGACACATATTTCTTTTGTTATTTAGTCCATAAGAGCATTTCTAATCCAACATATACATACTGATCAAAATGTGTTTTTGAATGTAAGGCTTTTTTTTAACACTGTTCCTGAAAGCAGGTATTTACCTTTTAGTCCTGCTGAATTAGGAGTATGTGATGAACATGATCATTTGCATTAAAATATGGAAACGCAGCTTCAGCCCCTGTCTTGTCTGTGTCTCTGTGATGAGACCAGTGCCCCAAAACACCCACAGTAATGTACAGAAAGCTGTGACAAGCTGGATCTGCTGCAGAGTGAACAGACTGGCAGCTAAAAATACTCAGCATGGAAACTCCTCTTGAAACAATGAATTAGCACACGCACACACACACACACACACACACACACACACACACACACACACACACACTGAAGCCTCCTGGCAGGCAGTGTTAAGTGAATAAACAGGGTCTAATTTTTGCTCCACGTGGATGGATAATGGGGATATAGGGGAGGACATTATTTTAACTAAAAACACAACCTTTGCTATTACAGGAGCCATGCGCTGGGTTTAAAGAATCCATAGAGAACTGAAGGGAGTCTCTCTTTGTCTCACACTTATACTCTTGCTACTTACTGCAGGCAGTTCAGTTTGCTCGTTCTGAGTCACATATGGTCCATTACACCAGTGACAGTCAGCTGGTAATGTAGAACAAAGCAGAAAGACTGTTGTTTCTATGGTTGGTTGCATTTTAATACACCTTGTGCAAGGACTTAAACTGTTAAATGGAAATATTTGAGGTATCCTGTCACACAATTGTAATGTGTCAGCCAATCGGAAACACATTTTCTAATGCCTCAGTATGATGCTGAGCTGAGACAGAATACTTGCATTATATGATGCCCCAAAAACAACCACACCTGGGGTATGATGCAAATTTTAAATCAAAACACCTGCACACTTATTTCCTTTGCATAAAATGTATTATCTAAGCTTTCATTCTTTTGATGCAAAAGCCACACGTGTGCAGATGTTTTGATCTTTTTTATTGCTGTTTTTCGCTGGATTTTTCTGGAAGTTTTGGGAAAGTTTAGTTAAATGACTTGCTCCGCAGAGGTACGGGATGGGAATGGGATCTTTTCATTCATATTTGAGGACAAAAATCCAGTCCTAACAAAGTCAACAATTTCTTTTAGAGTCAAGACCTTCCAGATTTAAAAAAAAACATCCTGTTTTTTGGTAGGATTTGAAATGCCCAATTTGATAGGTACTGCAATCCTTGTCACTGCGAACTCTACTGTTCTGGGGCGTGCTGCAGTGGGACACAGAGTCAATTGAGTCGGAACACACGACCATTGGTCTTTACTCCTGCACCGAGGACTTGGTTTTAGAGTTGATGTTAGAGTTGTGACTGGGTTATGGTCTATATAAGAGGTGAGATACAGAATGGTTAAGGTTTGGAAAAGCCTTCAGGGAATTAATACAAGTCAGCACAGTGTCCTCAAGAATATACTATTGCAAGTGTTTGTGTGTGTGTGTGTGTGTGTGTGTGTGTGTGTGTGTGTCTGTGTGTGTGTGTGTGTGTGTGTGTGTGTGTGTTTACCTGAGCACAGCGTCTGTGGTTTTCACACCAAACCAGAACTTGGTCACTCTGGAAGAGAGCGAGAGGAAGAGGATTAAAACAAACACACACACACAGAGGAATAAATCTTTCACAGACATATTCACTGTGACTTCCAGGGAGACAGAAAGCAAAATATTGTTAAAAGAAAGGTCACTGACCACATTACATAACCAGAGGAAAGCTGTCATGCAGTCAGACACACACTCAACTTTTCTCTTATTTACTCAATTATCCTCTGGGTGAGAAATGACTTAACACACTGTGTTTAGGGTTGCTGAGCCAGACAGAGACCACGTCAATTGGAGAGATGTATTTTGATGTGTGTGTTGGTGTATGTGTGAGTGTATGTGTGTACAGCTACTACTAAGTGAGTCAAGACCACCGGTAAACATGGGTGTTATAACCACCGCGACAGAGGAAGACGTCATCACATGACCACAGGGACAGAAATACAGATGAACTGACCCAACATCAATCCGTCCAATCTCTTCAGATTTTCAAACTCCTAAAAACAAATTTATACGAATCATCGATACTTGATTTTGAACAGAGAGGGAGACACAGACCTGCAACATATTTTTTAATGGATTATTACATCATAGTAAATTCAGATATGTTGTCCCCCTGGTCAAGATAAATGAAAACCTCAGTATTGAGACCAAGTAATATAGATTTTCTTTATTAATTGTTTTATTTGTCAATTATTTGTTTCATACGGAAAATGTCAAAATAGTGAAAAATGCCTGTCACAACTTCCCAGAGCTAAAAGGTAACATCTGCTGTTTGTATATTAGATATTCAATTTACAATAAACCAGATGATGTTTGGTGTTTTTTAACTTGATCATTTTATTGTTATATTTACAATTTTTGTGGGATTTTTAATCATTTTAATTGTTTGAAATGCAAGCTGAATACTGTGTGAGTGCTTTATACTTGCACTTGTGGTGTGGTGGCATCAGACTTCTGAAATGCTTTGTCATCACCAGCACAATCATGACGCCATCATCCAACATCAAAACAACTATTAAGATACTGGTGGGTGTGCATTTGCGTATCTGTCTGTTGTCATGTGTGTGCACCCTTATGGGAGTATATGAGTCTCAAGTGTGTGTGTGTGTGTGTGTGTGTGTGTGTGTGTGTGTGTGTGTGTGTGTGTGTGTGTGTGTGTGGATAAGCCTTCTTAACGACTCCTAAACCCTCTCCTGAGTGAGCTGTATTTAGCCTGAACAGGCTCATCTCTTTCCACAGACACACACACTTTTCAGGGCTTCTCCTCTTTTAAGTAGCCTTTGTGCTTCTGGTATGAAGGAGGTGAAGGGGTTAGAGTTGGGGTAACAGTGCAGCGGTTAAAGGTTAGAGATTAGGGGTTAAGGGCTTTCACGGTACAGAAGATGCTGAATTGACTCTTTCAGTCTTCACATTCAAAACAGATGCAAATTAACTGTGTTTTGGTAAAAAAGCTGCAGCTAAATTGGACTTTAAATAAAGCTTTTACTGTCACTAGAACAACCATGTTTTGTTTTTTTTGCTGAAGTTTGAAAAGTGCAAGAAATTAAAGATCCACTCTGTCGGATGGGGAGGGCTGCTTCTCCGTCCATTTGTAAGTTTCCAAAAACCGACAAACCGTAAGTCACGCCTGCTTTCTGCAGAGACTGGCTACTGAGCATACGGTATGTGTGAAAATGGTCAGAGCTCCAAGTTCTCCAAAAATCTTGTTTGCCTCATTCCTCTCATACTCTTGCCCCTGTCCATGTCCAGTGCTGCAGCTACTTTAATATGGCTTTGGTCATCCAAGCTGTTGGCGGCAACAAAGAAATGGCTCATTTTCAGAGAAGCAACAGAAGGAGTGGAACCAAAATCAGGAGGCCATAAAAAAATTGTTCAGAGTTGACTCTGTCAGTAAAATGATTGTTGGACATAATCTTAAGAGAAATAAAAGGGTATTTCTCGGCTGTGTGAGTATGCCTTTAAGACTAAATGAGTATTGATGGGGTGGACGCCCTTGGCTTAACAGTAATCTGTGCTAGCTGTTAAAAGGGATAATGCTAAGGCGACAGAAAGATGAGAGAGAGAAGAGGAAGAAAAGCAGTGTAGGATTAAAGTAATGGTTAAACCCCTGATGAGTAGATGAGTAATAAGTCTGTGGGGAAGGATGGATGGAAAGAGGAATAGATGAGAGGAGAAGCAGAGGAACGGGTGTCATGGTATCACAGGAGAGACACAGAAACACCTTCCTCCTCTGCCCAGCTTTTCTCTTTCCTTTCTAGACAAAATTGACGCCACCCAGGTGCTACAAATTTTACATCATAGAGAACATATTTTCCATGGATATAGGTCTTATAGTAGATATACAATGGTGTTTCTTAGCTCTCTCATACTGTACCTTAAGTTTTTTTTAAACCGCTGCATATAAATGACAAGCAGTCATTCTCTCCTTCCGCTGATTCTGTTTGACGACAGTTGTGAATAGCTGAATAGCTGTGCGCGAAATATTAAACAGACACAAATTCCCTGTCCAAATTTGGCTTCACCAGCTTCACTTCTATAGTCTGGTTTTTGCAGGTATTCCAAATTCCACGTCTAGGACAGAATCAAGTTCAAAAAGAGAACAAAAACATTTACAGTTTAAATGCTTCTCTGGATACTGTAAAATCTGACATCATACAATTTAAAGCACCCTGTAGAGTTTTCTTGAAAACGAACAGTTTCTGTTTAAATTCAGTGTTTCTCACCAGAAATTACTGTGTATCATCAAGCTCTAACAAACATCTTTCCTTCCTCATAAAACCAGAGACTAATAGAGCTAGACTATAGAGAACATAGAACTAAGAGATAATGACAACAGTATTGGCGAGTCTTGATGGTTAGTAGAGGAATGCATCTTTGCTGCCTTTTAATGTATAAATTTCTTTAGCTGTTGATGTTAAAACACACTAAAATACAACATGAATATGTATGTTAAGGTGGGTTATCATTGACTCAAAATGTATTTAAAGGACAAATTACAGTAAAGTGAGGTCATTTTCTGAACTCATGTGAGTGAAACACCAAAATCTTTCTGGCTATTAATCATATCCACATTAATCATAATCAAATCTAAATCGCAGCCCTAATTATATCCATTAAATAATGTGCAATGTATCCAAGGCATCAAGTCAAAAGTGTTATGATTTTTGACTTTATTGGCAGTATCACTCCACTCTGTCCTGCTCCTGGAGGCTCAATCAGGGTGGGTTAAATTAGCAAAGTTAAGTTTGTCCTGCAGCAGGAGGATGATTTATTCAGCCAGCCACCATCTGCCTCTCTTCTGGAGGACAGAAAAAGATAAAGAAAAGCGAGACGAGGATCTGAATATACACACAATTTACATTCCCTCCTCCTCCTCCTCCTTGTGCTCCTGCTCATCCAGATTAACTTCCCTTGGTCACCCTGTCACCCTCTCTGTCTGTCATTTGTACACTCCAACTCTCTCTCAACCCGCTCCACATTGCTGCCAGCTCCTGTGAAAATGACAGGATAAGACTTGAACGATGATGATGATGATGATGATGATGATGATGATGATGATGATGATGATGATAAACTGTAGATGCTCCAGTCAAAGAACTGAGAATAACGTGGAGGCCAGTTAAACATCTCCAGATTTTCACAGAGGAGATATAAAGCTTCTTTCCCCCCTGCTGGCCTCACATCTTCATCCTCTCTCTTAATCTTTTTTTACGCTCTCTTTCTTTTTCTGTCGTCCTCACCATAACATCACCCGCTCTCTGTCACTCCTCTTCAGCCCCCTCTGCAACGCACACAATAACTGGATGTACACATACACACTCTTATCCCAAGTCGATTTCATGGGACATATTTGCTGTCAGAGCCAATCAATGCAGTTTAGATGGGCCTGTGTGCCGTATGGCTATTAAACGGTGGTCAAACTGGGGTTTCATAGGGTCTCAGAGTATGTGTGTAAGTCTGTCTGCGGCAAAACAGCTGCACATGTTGAAAAAGTCGGGGAAAGAAATAGAGGACTGGAAGAAGAGAGAAAAGAAGTTGGATGTGGGAGACTGGGAGGAAAATGAGAGGGAGACAGGAAGTTGAAAAGAGCAGAGGGACACAGACAAAAGAAGGTGAAAGATGGAAATAAATATTAGTTAATTCGAGCTGGGAGGAGACTGGCGGGGGGTGGTGTATACTAGTTATGAAACAGGATGGAATAAATTCTAGTGACTGCTGTCTGTCGTCTGGCCCGGGTTTGGTCTTCAGGGTTATTTTATTGATGGGAAGTTTAAATAAAGTATTTTCATTTTGAAATTCCCAAATGCATTTATTTGTGGCTTTACACTAGCAGTTTAGAGAGTTATAGGTGAGGCATTTACTTATAAAACTCTATCCTAAACCCATGTAAAGACATACAAAGGTTTTGAGGCCAAAGGTTTTTGTGTATTTTATGGCCCAAGAATCCTCACAGTAATGCTGAAGATACTGTGCATGAAAAATCTCAAGAGGATTTCACTTCAATCCACCTCATGATATATAACTTAGAACAAAACCATGCAAAAATCTCCTTTCATTTTTAATGATGGATTTCCACATGGCTGGATTTCATACCAACACTCAAAACACAGGGTCCTAAAGTTTTTTCTATCCTGGGATCCAAGAGAGAAATTTGTCTGAGCCTGAGACACCAGAGACCCGTCAGCAACAGAGCTGACCCACGTAGTAAGAAACACTTGCACTAAAGGACTTCCACATGCCTCTGATGGCGGCTTAGTCCACAGTAATCACTGTTAAAGAATAACATTCTGATATCAGTGGATGCAACAGCAGGAAAGAGGCTGTGACACAAACACACACGTACACACAAAAACACACACACACACACACACACACACACACACACACGGTCGACATGCATGCGCACAGCTGCACACACCCTTCAGTGTTTGAAAGAGAGAGAGATATAAATCACACTTCTGCCAGATGCAGCGATAAAAAGTGAATGTGTGTGAGAGGGAGAGTAGGAGAGAGTGC